TGTAAAAAAAAAAAAAAATAAAAAAAACCAAAGAAGGAAAAAAAAAAAAAAAAAAAAAGGGACGACAGCACCTATTTCTAAATTTAAAATAAACCCCATTTTCTTCAAATACATGCTAAGTTAAAAAACAAAGCCATCAGTGTTACTGGAATGTATCTTAAAGCATAGAGTACCAAGTCACACCATACCCCATTAAACAAAAAAAAAAAAGCACAAAAACATACATGCCAGTTCAAAATACATAAAGCCAAGGAACAACTAAATGAGAAGGATGTCTAGTAATTAAAGTTACCTTACAGCATTATAGTGCCCAAGCAAGTCATGCCACAATAAAAGATAAAATCCTCCAAAAGAAGAGAATATCTGCCCGCAAAATGAGTCAGGCACAGGAGGAGCGCAGAAATTAGAATCAAACTAGAGGGAGCAGGAATGAATCAAGCTGCCCTGCCTTTTGTCTCCAGGCTCCCTGAATCATCCCCGCCCTGCCTGCCTCTCCCTCCATTACTCTCCCACCCCTCAGGGGAGCCAAGCTTCCCAAGCCCAGCAACACGCTACCAGCTTCACAGGAACATGCAAAGCCGACTGTGTGAAACACACACAGTTGCAAAGGCCAATGCTGCAATCCTTATGCCAATCGGGCATCCTAATGTAGCTTGCAGATTCGGTTAACAAAATATCAGTTAAAAAAAAAAAAAAGCACCTTAAACAAACTGGTTAACAAATGATTATTTTGGATCATGGCACAAATGACTATGAAATGTAGATATTAGGAAAGAATGGAGTTTTTCTTTGCACAGAAAGAATATTGTAACTGGTCATGTCAATTTCCTCACCAGATTGTGGGATGTGAATTATACAGCTTTACCTTTAGATCTGTGATTCACAACCCCAACCCTCCATTTACATCCCACAATCAACATTTACATTACACAATCAACATTTCCATTTACATCCCACAATCAACATTTACATTACACAGCTTACAAGCTAATAGTAAAACGTTAGACAGGCTGTGGACACCATGAAATCCCCAAGAAACTACAAACCCCAACATGCCATGGGCTTGACTTAAGGAATACAGGTTTAAGATAAAACAAAAAAAAGGGGTTTCAACCACATCTTCATTCATTTATTTTTACATGAAAGGTGAAAAATAAGGTGCACTGGTTACCGGGATGATTTCAGCCCTCCAACATTAATCATATTTCCATACAAAGCCCCAACACAGAGCAAGGCTGGTAAAGTGAATGTAAAGTAATTTTTTTTTTCATTTTTCGATAGAGTAGGATGGAAATACAGAACTCATCTGGGTATTAAAGTGGAACCTCAAGCAATTGGAAATGGGCGACCAGAGACTTTTTATTGCACAAGAGACATACTATAAGGGGGATTTATCAAATTTGGAGCAGTTGAACATGATAACCAATCAGCTTCTCTCTTTCAAATCTTAATTGAACAAAGTGGAGAGAAGCTGAACAGTTACTATGGGCAACTGCTCCAATTTTGATAAATTCCCCCTATGTCTTTTCTACAACAGATTCTTACCTGCCTGTCTGCAATCTTCCACATGATGCACACTGAGCTGCACATGTGCAGGGATGCATGCATGGCAGTTACATCACCCTAGCAAGACCAATCAAGATGGCGGAAGGCCACTGAACCCAGAAAAAGAGCAGGTGAAAATGTCAGCGCTTGCAAGGGAGATTCTGCACATGGCCTCACAGGTAGGGAAGCAGTGTCATTGCTCAGAGATTTCCATTCACTTCCTGTCCTTGACACCCAATAGAGTGCTTGTTCCCTCTGGGGTTTTCGCTTCACTTCCTGTTCTTGAGACCCAACAGAGTGCTGCTCTCTACCCCCACCCGGGGATTTCCTTTCACTTCCTGTCCTGGAGACGCAACAGGAAATCTCTTTAAGTAAATTCATTCTGACAGGAACATCCAACCCAAACCAGAGGATTTTCCATCACTTCCTATTCTGGTGACTATAAAGTATCAGGAATTCCCAATCACAGCAACAGTCACTAGGAAAAAGGGCAGAATTTTCCCAATACAGAAGGTAAAACCTGACAGGGAAGCCAAACTAGCCCTAGTCTACACCCCCAACACCCCAATTTTTATTATTCTCCATATAATCCACTACCATGACCACATTGCGATCTTCGGTGCACTACAAACCAAAAAAGGTGCCCATACACTCATATTTTCGTTCAGGAAATCTTTCACGAATGGTCTATCCAACAGTGGATGGGACACCAACAATTTACTGTAATCTCACTTGAATTTTCTAGAAGGGTGAGGCTGGAAAACTGTTTAGAATTGAATGATAAATCTATGGATAAGTGGCATTTTCATCCCCCCCAAAAAATTGCAGCAAGAACACTGCACATGCGCAGAAGAAAATCCATTCTGTTGATCGTCGAAATTCAGTGAGTTGGTATTGCTAACGAATGATTATCGAAATAAACATTGGTCTGTGCATGACGGGGTATTCAAGCTAGAACCCAATGACTGTTCTAGCCAGCAACAAAAATTTCCAATCGAAAATCTATAGGTGTATGGCCAGCTTTACTCTTCCTATGGCTCCTTGTACCAGAGCTGCATTAGCCCAAATACTTATCTAGTTGCACTCCTTACAGCCAATGACCACCAATTACTGGGTGCTGGAGAGAAATTACAGACTGTGCTGTCAGACTGCAGAGCCTATATGTAGAGGACGAAGGTATATATAAAAATATCACCTGCACACCATCAACAGTAAAACACCATCAATGTGCACACAGTTTATTTGCCACTACCAAACAGAGAAATGTTGCCAAAGACCCCTTCCTCACTACCAGTCCAACAGGAAGTGACAGCAAGAAAGGGGTCCTCAGTGGCCCCCGGTAAACATCCTGTCACTGGTGATCTCACTACACATAGAGCTGCATCAGCCACTCAGCGGAGTGCTACCAGGCGCGGCCATGGGTGGCAGCATTTGGTTGTTTCAGACCCACACACGCATACGAGGGCCAATTTAGACAGGAGCCAATTACCCTACCAGCGTGTCTCTGGAGTGTGGGAGGAAACCGGAGTACCTGGGAGGAAGCCCACACAAGTACGGGGAGAACATGCAAACTCCATGCAGATAGCGTCCTGACCGGGATTTGAACCGGGAACCCCCAGTGCTGCAAAGCAGAAACAACCAGTGCCTTTAAAAGCCATTTTCTTCAGCACGGAAACGTGCAGCAGACATAATTCCAGGTAGTATGGCATACATTACTGGCACATGTAAGAGAGGAGGTCACCCCCTGAATGCACATTAATGGCAGCCAAACATGCATGTGTATGTGCCATTGCAATGGTTGATGTATGGTGGTCCCTGGCTGCCTGCTTTCTGGACAGGGCTCTGTAAATATATAAAAATTAGTGAGGGGGATTCATAAAAACTGGAGTGGACAGAACCTGGAGCATTTGCCCGCAGCAACCAATCAGCTTCTCTTTTCAGTCTGTTCCATTAAGATTTGAAAAAGGAGCTGGTTGGTTGCCATGGGCGACTGCTCCAGATATTCTCCATTTTTTTTTTATGAAACCCCCTCACAAAATTCTATATCAGCTAAAGGCCCCTGCCCAGAAAGGCGACAAATGGCTGCCAGGGACAGGCGGACACAGACACACACCGCCCATAAAACCTCGGCCACTACAATGACATCCTCTCCGCTCGGTCTCAGCGTAGAAGAAACCCTCCTGGCTCTACCTAACCCAATTACCAGGCGTTGGCAAAAGGGCGGGGTGAAACCGCCTCCGCCAATCACAAGCGAGATGAACACCCGCCAATTCCGTGTTCCTTAAGCGCCGTCAGCCAATGGAAATTTAGCGCGGGAGCTGAGGGCAGGGCTAAGGGAGCGGAGCGGGGCTGGGTTAGGTTGAAGGACAGGCTACGGCTTGGTCCACGGGGTTTCCGCCAATGAGGTGCAGGGTGATATGACGTCATTGTTGCTGTGGAAACAGAGTTGCAGCTTTTTAGTTGTGTCTCCTCATGCTCGGCGGTCTGGGCGTGGTGCCGGTTTCCTGCAGCGGAGATGCTGCACCGCAGGCAGGGAGGGCTCCCTCACCATGGCCCTGTGTGTTGTGTGATATCACACGGTGTACATGGAGACCTGTGTGTCATCTCTAAGTGCACGGTGGGCTGCACGGTGTAGCTCGGTGCTGCATCGTCATTGCTCGGGCACCGTGCCAGGGCTTATACCTGGCAATGCTGATCTGTGCTATTTGCAGTGAAGGACGGGGCTCTTTATAGAAGGGGTGTTCAGGCTGATGCATAATGGAACGCTGCGTGAGGAGCTGATTGCACTGCAGTTGCATCATCTTTGTGCCAAGGTTCACCCTGAGTCCGTTCACTGATAATACATATTATATTATGACATATTCTGCCTGAACGACTATTTATAATATACGCCTCATGTGGCACGGTGATCCTAATTCTGCAAACATATTGCCACCATCAAGATTGTTAAAGTGGAATGACCCTTCATGACAGCCTTTTTTTCATTTTTTTGTACCCATGTTATATTCCACATTTTAGGCCTGAAAATTACTTAAAACCCCCCAACATTATATATTTTCTGAATGCCAAGACCCTATAGAATAAAAAGGTGGTAGTTGCAAATTTTTATGTTGCGCAATATTAGCGCAACTCCTTATTAAACCCCAATATTTAGTGAAAAATTTAATTAAATGCCCCAAAACACAACAAAATACCAATTTTTTTAATGAAATATAAAAGATGAGGTTACAACGAG